GAAGACTGGAGTCAGAAGACACAGCACTTAAAGTAACTGAATTAACAACAACAATGACAAAATGGCCAAACTGGAATTTAAACACACTGTACACTTGCTTCTGAATTTGTGTGAGTGTGTTTGTGTCCATGTGTGTGTGTGTGTGTCCATGTGTGTGTGTGTCCATGTGTGTGTGTGTGTGTGTGTCCATGTGTGTGTCCATGTGTGTGTGTGTGTCTGTGTCTGTGTCTCTGTGTGTGAGTGTGTATATTCTCTCTCTCTCTCACTCTCTCTCTCTCTCTCTCTCTCTCTGTGTGTGTGTGTGTGTGTTTGTGCCTGAAAGCTCAAGTTCCCAAGGGAAGCAGCCATGACACAGCTAGCTGGCATATCACAGAGAATATGGCATCTGGATGGTGCAACCATTTCCTGACTTCTGACTCTGGTGAGGGTTTGAGCACCTGTAGACCTAGTCCTGCATTGAAATGTCAGGTCTTTGTCTCTTTATTCTCCTGTGCCATCAGACTGTATGTGGAACTTGTAGATGAGAGGCAAGGCATAGAATAGCAGAATATACAGCAGCCTTCCATGGCATGTCCTGAAGCGCTCAGGCTTCAGAATTATGAGTGGGAAGAACTGCACACTTTTTGAAACACCTTGGCACTGGTGACATCACCATCAAATCCTTGCAAGCATCAAAGTCCATGAGATAAAGCCTGGAATGTGTGCCAGGCACAGTGGTCAGTGGAAGTTACCTAATGACCACAGGAAAATCAGTATTATCGTTCTTATTTGACAAAGGACAAGCGACCTACTTGCAGTGACACATCTTAGTAGCAGAGCCAACCACTGGCTCTGATCTGAAGGGTGAAGGAATGAATGACCTCAGGAATGAACAGTTCTGCCATACCTGCATTATATCATTGCTTTTTACCATGCCCTTCGCTAGGATGCATGGGTAAGTCTAGGGTACTGAAAGGTAGTGAATGCATGGCTTTCTAGGTTTGCCCATCTCCCATCCCGTCTCTTAGTAACCATTGACAAACTGAGCCCCAGGCTGGGATCCTCTACTGAGCCTTATGGATGTTGGCTGGGTTCATTAATGCCTTTTGCGGTTCAAAGATGGTCAATACTCTAGCTGCTGCCTCCTATCCAACTGCAAGAAAAAAAAAAAAAGAAAGAAAGGGGGGGAAAAAGGAATTCAACTTCTTCCTGTGTTTTGCCAATGCACAGTATGTTGTGTGGGTAATTTCTGGTCTGGCCAGTAAAAACCTCCGGGAGCCGTCCGTTAGCTCTTTAATTATGAACTGTAGGGGACACCACAAAATAAATACTTAAAATGTCTAGACAACCAGTCATCAGAGGAGGATAATTAACTTCAAACATTCGAAATTGTTGGAGGAGTCGTTAGGCACCTCTGTAGTTCCTTTCGGGACCCTGCCCCTGCGGTGGGTTCGCTCTGTGTGCAGGCACGAGGCTGTAGCGCTGGCTGAGGCTTCCCCGGCCTGGAGCGGCCTCTTTCTCCAGCTCTTAAATGACGGGTAACAAAACGGCCAAAGTACAAATGCTTTAAGGACGAAAAGAAGACCACTACTTTTCTCAAAGCAGGAAAAACGTCTCTGCTTTTCAGTAATATCAAAGCACAAAATAACACTGTAGCTGATTAAGAGAAATACTATTTATTGAGTCTATTGTGTATATTTTTGTCTTAATTTGTTGTTACTTAAAAAAATTAATCAAGTCTTTTTTTTTTCCGCAAGAGCTGGGTAAATTTGAGACTGAATTTGAACTTGAGGCATTTCTAGCACCCTCAGATTTCCTCTGTGGAAGCGATTTTGGCTTAGGACTCGTGCTAGGTTTTCTTTGTTGTGTTTTCAAGTCAGGGTCTCCTATAGCCCAGGCTAGCCTCAAATTCCCTATGGAGCTGAGGAAGATTTTGACCTTCTGATCCTCCTGCCTCTACCTCCCAAATGTTGGGATTCTAGACACATACTGCCACATCTGATTGCATTTATTTTTTAAGCTAAAAACAAATACTCTTGTAAGAGGTGTGGATCCCACAATGAAAACTTGTTCCAAATAGTCTACACAGTGCCCAGCTCCTGCCCATACTTTCCAAGGAAAGCAATGTAGAGCCCAGAGGCCTAGCTGTCTATCAGGTCAAAAACCAGGACTCAATCTGTGGTGGTATTGTGT